CAAGAACATACCTAAAAAATATTTGAAATGGGCAGTACAAGCTCAGCTCTTTGCTCGTACCCCTCTTTATATAGAGAGAATTTGTGAATAAAATAGGAAGGAAATACGGGAGCAAAAGGGACGTGGGCGGTTAAAAATGTCCGCGGCTAGTTCAGTTGTTTCTCTCTATTAACAGAAAAAACAAGGATCCTTGCAGGAGAATTTGCAGGAAAACCCAGAAAAAAGATAATTCAGAACTTTCAGTTACACTTACCGGCAAGTGAAGAGGCTCCAGCTTCATCTCTGCAGAGTTGGTTTGTTCTGTTCTCTTGGTGCCTTTTTAAGAGAACGAAAAGGCCCTTTTTTCTCGCCTCAATCCGAACGCTGCAGCTCGGATTCCTTCCAAAGAGGGTCAATACAGGGGAAAAAACAATAGAAAGTGGATATATTATTTTACACTTTGAGGACTCTTGTTATGGGAGATATTTATTTATTTCAACAAGGAGTATTGGGGAAGTGGAGTTAATAGGACTTATTCCCGAAAGGACCTCTCGGCAAAGAGGGTGACTGAAAAAGAGAGAAAGCAGCCTTCACTGTTCAGGTTTTGTGGGATTATTGGTTGGGAGAAGTTTGGGCCAAGTCAAATAATTATTTTAATAGGATAATTTTATGTCTTTGGAATATTTTTGAACGGGGTAAAATATGATAAGTTGAAATAATGAGATAATTTGAAGCTTTTTATTTAAGAGTTCATAGGAAACAATTAATGATGTGATACCTTAATAAAACATAATATTTTTTATGAATTAAGTCTAAATTGAGTTTATCTAATTTGTTTAGTATATTATGTAGTATACAGTACTAAATAATATACATTATTATAATATAATATATTATTTTAATTTATATTAAAATATAATATGTTATATTACAGTGACCTTACTTAGTTATAAGTATGTTTGGCACAGTATAACATATTATATTTTAATAATGTGTTATATTACTAATTATAATTGATATAATATACTAACAATATATTTAATATAATACTTCTATAATATAATATTTAATTTAATATATCACAACACAATATCTAAGAGGATAATGTATTGTGCAAAATATTATAATATTTAATTTTATCTATATATAATATTATTCTGTTAGACCCTAATACCACTAGGAAAGAACCTTAGAGGGGGGTTGAATATGGTTTATGCTAATCTAATCCGATTTAGTACCAATTAAAAACTTATTAACAAGTTATCCTAGCAAATAAGATATGCAATGAATTATTAGCAATGATAAGCAATATAAGCAAGGGTAAACAAAATAGAGGACAATATAAACAAAGAGGCAATGGCTAAAAATATGAACAAAAAGAGTACGCCAATACAAACTCAAACAAGCAATATGATCACGGAGTTCGGACCTTCCGTCCTACGTCTCCGCTCCCCACTCCTGGGGAGAAATCCACTATCACACCGGGTTTTCAACGCTCACCCGAAAATGTTTACACCTCACACTTGGTTTTCTAGCTCATCAAAAACTTTACAATCCACACTCTTGCAATCACTACTCTACACCCTCTAAGTGTTGGTCTCTAGCCCGTGTCTCCCTCAAGAGCTCGGATTTACAACCACTCCCTAGGCTTTACTATCGACGCTACTCCTCTTGGTACGGTCCCATCTCTCACTACACATTCCTCTCGGTGTACAAGTGTATTACAAAGTGATCTCACAAATTAAGCACAAATACAACAAATTTGTTCTCTACAATGGATGAGAACTCTATGTAGGCTCACGTTCAATTGTTACAACTCTCACAACCCTAATAATACTATGTATGAAAATACTTAAGCTCAAATGGGAGTGTGTAAACAATGAGTGAAATCAATACTAAACTCAAATATGAAATCTAGCTTAAGAACAATGATAATCAAACAAGTATATAAATATAAAGCTAGAGTTTGAGTTTAGAAAACTTCTCTAATGAATAACAAGAGAGAGAGAGAGAGATGAGTTGAATGCACAAACACCAAAGAATGATCTCCTTAAGCTCTTGTGAAAATTTCTTCACAAACAAAAAAAAAAACAAAAAAAAAAAACTAGCCGCTACAGCATCAGTCGACTGACGGGTTTCTTCAGTCGACTGATTAGCTGATCGTTATAGGCATTTTTAGCTCATCAGTCGACTGACGATCTTATCAATCGACCGATGACCTCCTATTTGTGAAATTTCATCATTTTATAAACTCACTTAAAATACAAAATCTCGAAAACATATGATTTTGACAAAATAACTTAAACACAATTTTAAAACTTTGTAAAATGATTTTATAGACTTAATAAAAGATGTATATCATGATTGTTAAGTCCATAAATAAAAAACTCAACATTTTCACAAATTTATATTTATATAAACTTGAAAACCAAAAGCCAAAATGTGTGTGTGTGTCTATATATATAATATATATATATATATATAAGAAATCAAAACTTATATGTATGTATGTGATTGAGCTTAAAGTATTGAACACACATAATATAACACCTAAACTAATTTACCCAAACAATCTTGATCTTCAATAAGCTCGACTTGGTAAACTGCGGATGAAGCTTGAACTAGGATCTTGACTTGAATGTGTAAGGCTTCATACCGATATACTGCCAACCTCCATTGGATATGATCGTTGAAGCGCAATTCCATCCAACATCCAACACATTGTTTGTCTAAAATAAATAGAAAAACACAAACACTAGACAAATAATATTAGTCATAAATTATTTATAAAAACATCATCAAAACAAAAAGACCAACAATCTCCCCCTATTTGATGATAAAAAACAATTTACAAAAAGATATATGCATAAAACAAAATAAATAAGAATTATGATTATCATGCATAAAAACAAGGAATATATATGTAAAAACAAGGAATATATATGTAAAAACAAGGAATATATACTCACAATATTTTTTCCCCTTTGACAACATCAAAAAGGGGAAAACAAAAGAATGGAGAGAGCGAAATCTCCCCTACCAATAAGCATGGTGAGTATAAAAACAAAAATTAGGATGACTCCCCCTGTTGGTCTTCTTGTTTTGATGATGTTTAACAAATAATTTATCACTAATGTTGTTTGTCTAGTATTTGTGTTTTCTTATTTATTATAGACAAACAACGTAGTTGGGGGATGGATGAAATCGAGCATTCACGATCATATCAAATGGAGATTGGCGGAATTATGGAGTGAAGCTTATGAAATTCAAGTTCAAGATCCAAGTTCAGCTTCATCCGTATAGTGTACCAAGTCAAGCTTATTGAAGATCAAGATTGCTTGGGTATATTAGTTTAGATCTATATTATTGTGTTGTATACTCTAAGCTCAATATCATACACACACACACACACACACACACATTTGTCGCATGTATCTTTACGTATCTGATTGACAAAATTGACCCGGAGCTGCATATTCAGGTGACTAATGAGATGATTAGAGTTGCGCTGACGGCAAACTCGATAGGCGATCTCATGGGGTATGTTATACAATATTTAGGCGGTGCTATTTCTTATAGTGCGTATGATGGTATCATACGGATCATTAGCTCGATTGGTAATAATTCCGACGCTAGACAGAGTAGTGCTCAGGTACCTTATTTTTTCTTATATTTATAAATTCATTTTTTCTAATATGTTATCAAACACCACATAATGACTTATTCAATTAAACATTCAGAGTGGAGATAATGGAGGGAGCAGCACCCGTTCTCGTAATCGGGATAGAGATCCCCCCGCCGACGACGATGGATGAGGTTTTTTTATTTTTAATGCAATAAATAGTTTTATTTGTTATAACACTACATTTATTCATGTCATGTATCCTATCTTAGTCATGTGCATTGTTAGTATATATGTTGTTGGATGTGTATTAGACGGAACTGATTGATGTATATTTTGAGGTGGATGGTTGGATTTGTACAATGTGTTGGATTTGGTTATATTTGGTTTTTGGATGGAATTGTTATGAATTTTGATTATAATTGGATGGTTAAATGTATTCACGTGTACAATATTTTCTGGATGTATTCAAATATTAATGTAATTGTACAGGAAAGTATAAATTGTAATTATTTTTTTTTGCTGGAAAAAAGGTAACCTAGACGGAATTCCGTCTATATTGAGTCAATCTAGACGGAATTCCGTCTAGGTTGTGAAAAACCAACCTAGACGGAATTTCTGTCTGGTATGTCAGACCAGACGGAATTCCGTCTGGTATGTCAGACCAGACGGAATTCCCGTCTGGTCTGACATACCAGATGGAATTCCGTCTGGTATAGCAGACTAGACGGAATTCCGTCTGGTCTGACATACCAGATGGAAATTCCGTCTAGTTTGACATACCAGACGAAATTCCGTCTGGTCTGTCAAACTAGACGAAATTCTTTATTCCGTCTAGGTTAACTTCCGTCTAGGTTGATCAACCTAGACGGAATTCCATCTAGTTTGATTCAATCTAGACGGAAGCAAAATAAACCACCCAAACTAGACGGAATTCCGTCTAGATGAACTAATCTAGACGGAATTTGGATCAACCTAGACGGAAATTTCCGTCTAGGTTGATTAGTTTTCTACTAGTGTTTATTGGTTTCTTCATATATATATATATACATAAGTTTTGGTTTCTATGCATATATATAGTTATATATATACATACATAGTTTTTGAGTTTTCATGTTTATAAATATGAAATCATATATTTCATATTTACTATTGTGTTTTTGAAAACATTGCATAGAATATGCAATTTTGTGAAAATATTGTATTCGTAGTTTGTAGACTTGAACATCAGTTTATACATGTTTTACTAAGTCTATAAAAACATTTCACAAAGTTTCAAAAGTTGGTTTATGTCAAAACATCAAAATTCAAGTACATCATATTTTCATGTTTTGGACTAGTTTGTAAAATGATGATATTTTTCATTTGGGAAGTCCTTTTTCGAAACCAGTCGTTGTAGCATGTTTATTATCATGTCTACAATCATTCCCCAAAGTTTTACATTTTTTGGAATTTATTTGATATTTTTAAACAGTGTTTTAAAATTCGACCGCAAATATTTTACGGTCGACCGCCGATATGACCGTTGGACTCCAATGGCTATTTTCTGAGCTGTTTTTCTGGGAGCTTTGTTGTCATTTTAGTGGGGTTTTTGCTAAAGTTTTGAGTGGGTATAAATACCCCATTACCTCAGTTTTTACAAAATGAACAAGGGAATGTTTTAAAGAGTTTTAAAAAGAGTTGTTTTAAGCTTATTTAAGGGTTTGGTTTAAAACTGTTTTGATTTTCACAAGTGGAGGAGATTATCTTCTTGTTTGGGCTTCAATCTCCATCTCTCCATCTTGTCATCTATTGAGAAGTTTTCTAAACTCTACTCTAGCTTTTATTTATAATTATTTGTTGATTATCATTTCTATTAAAGCTAGTTTTATATTGAAGTTAGATTTGATTTTATCTCATTGTTACAC